TCTGTCCCTTGCTCCTGCCCTGGCTCCCAGAGACCCCTGAAGACAGCTGCCCCACCTCCCTCTGGCCAGGCCTCACCATAGGTGTCCCAGGCCACACCAGTAACTGTCTTCCTCACAGAAGGACGGATATGTCCGACTACACCTACTCCACGGTGTCCCGGCATTGCGGGGGCAGCCACACCCTCACCTACCCCTACCGCCGCAACCGCCTGCAGCACCTGCCGCAGGGCCTGTACCCCGAGGACATCCAGCTGTCCTCGAAGGTCAGTGCTGCCCGGGGCCACAAGGGAGGCGGGCCCTGCACGACCCGAGGTTCTCAGGTCATCTGGAAAAACCACCCGAGGCCACCTCATCCCACCTCTGCCCTAAGGCAGTTTCTTTTTTCCCTCTTTTTCTTTTTTAAAAATTTACCTTTATTGTTGAAAGCTGAGGCAGTTTCTCAATCAGACCCAGTGAAAGCCTCAGGTTCTTACCCTTTGCTGGGAGAAAATGCCGTCCTGGCCACCCACCCCCCTGGCGCTACAGCCTCCACCAGGGGCCTTGAGAACAGCAGCATCTCCGGCTCCCCTCACCCTGTCACCCTGTCGCCCTGCCCCTGGAAGGGTGCCGAAGTCTGGACAGGCCAGCACTGTGCCCAGGCCGGCGTGCAGACAAGACCAGAGGGGAAGCTCTGGGTGCTGTGTGCTAACGGCCCCTCTCCCATCTCCACAGCATCACGAGGTGGATATCTTGGGCTTGGATGGACATATCTACAAGGGACGGATGGATACAAGGCTGCCAGGCATCCCAAGCAAAGACAGTGAGTGTCCCGGTGGCCCAGCCGCCCCTTGGGCTCCTTGCTTGGGTCCCACAGGGTCCATCCAGCTCCTGGTAGGCCAGGCATTTCTTGGCCTGGACCCTGGCTGCCTTCCTCTCTACCTCCCCGACTGCAATGTTCAGGTCTCCAAAAGCCCTGGCCACCGTTTGCAGGTGGCAGACAGCTGTCCACTCAGCTAATTAGCTAGCGTGTCATGCCCCACCCTCTCTTGAGGCCAGCTGTGCCCGGCAGCCCTCTCCCCGTCCCCGTGGGCCCCACAGAGCTGGGTCGGTGTCTGAGAGTGGACCTTTCCCTCCACTGTCCCCGTCAGGCTCAGGAAATATCAAGCACAAGGTCAAGCAGTCCCGGTCCCTCACACACCGGCAGCCGTCCCTCTGCGACAGCAGCCAGCTGCCCTCGCGGCCTCAGAGCGCTCAGTTACTGGCTGGCAACACCTCAGGTAGCGTCCCTCGGGCTGGAGCGTCCCGGGGGCCTCGGCACGGCCCCGGGCCTCCTCCCTGCCTCGTGGGCTCCCGTTCCTGCGAATGGCTGGCATGTGCCTAATTTCCCGGGAGTGGAAGGCCTGGGAGCCGAGGGATGGGACGGGAGGCAGAGAGAGCCCCTCGCCCCCGAGTGCTGGATGTATCCCAGGCCTGTGGGGTGGATGCTATTATGAAATGTCCCCATTTCACAGAAGAGGAAATAGGGGCAGGGTCGCAGCCCAAGACTGTCTCCAGGCCCAAGTCCGTCCCCTGCTCAGACTTGCTCACAGGCTCTGTGTTGTGGCTGCTGGGTACGGGGCCACCCCCCACCCCAAGAACCCCTCTGTCTGACCCTGTCTGCAGAAGAGCTCTCCTTGCCCCCAGGTCTGGAAGTTCCTAGAATCCTGCTGTCCCCTGAGGAACTAAGTCCTGCCTGGAAATTAGACGGCTAAGGGCCTCCCAGGGATAGGCCACAGGTGGGGGCCAGAGAGGGACACTGGTCTGAAGTCAGGAGGCCAGGTCACTTCCAAGTAACTCTAAGCAAGTCTCTCTCCTCTCCAGGCCTCAGTAACAGGCTTAGAGTTAGGGCCCCACGAGAATCTAAGGAGGTGCCACCCCCTTCCTATAAAAAGTCACGGACCCACAATACTTTGAGACGCTTGCAGGAGGTTCCAGCTCCCCCCGCCCTGGCCCAGGTGCTCTTCACCCCCTCCCAGTTCCAGCTCAGGGAGTGTCCGAGGAAGTGGGAACAGCTGAAGTGTGGGTGGTGGTCACAACACCTGGCCTGTATTGAGGGCCCCTCACCGGCCAGCCCTGTGGAGCTTTACACGTGGGACCAGTTTAGTCTCCAGCCAACATTAGGAGGTCTTGCTTATGCTGAGAAAACCCAGGCACAGGATGGTTAAGGTACTTGCCCAAGGTCATACAGCTAGGAAGCAGCGGCACTGGGATTCAAAGCCAAGCCCTCTGCCTCCAGGTAAGAGGCTGGGAGAGTGGATCAGGGATGGACAGAGCACGGGTCTGTGGCTGTTTTCTTGGGGGCAGTGCACTCCCTTCTCCCTGGCACCCCACCTTCTACTCCAAGCACCCTTGAAATGTCATGGGAGCAGGAGAGGGAGGGCGAGAGGGAAGTCTCAGGGAAAATTCCGGCCCTTGTCTGTGTGGTTATTGCCTAAATAGTCCCTGTACTAATGAGGAAGCATTACCAAAGGGGCAGGCTCTTGCTCGCCGGAGGGCTTGTGTGTTTTTCACTCGGCAGTGATCAAGGAGCTTTGCTTAGGGGCTCCTGTGAGGACTGCACTCCCAGCCCCAGGGCAGGGCCCTCTCCCCTCTGTGTCCCCTCCCAGCCTGGCTAGCAGGGCGCTCTGACTCCCCTGGGCTCTGGGCGAGCTGGCCAGCTGGGCCACTGGTGGGTGTGGGAGCGAGGCAGAGCCACAGCAGTGTCTCCTGCCTTGCAGCAACTCGTCAACAGACAGACAGACCGGTGTCCTCAGAAGGGCGCTTCCCCCAGCCAAATGTGGCCCACCCGCCCAGCCCCAGCGAGATGGCCCGGGGGCCGGAGATGCACGGGGACGTGTCTTCTGGGGAGGGGCTGGAGGAGCCCACCCGGGGGCCGAGGTCCTCCACTGCTCACTGAGCAGAGCTATAAATAAATGTTCAGGAAGAACCTGGGACTCAAGGCTTCTCTGGTCTGGCTCAGGAAGACAGAGTCGGAGGGAGGGGCCCCTGGGTGCCTCCTGACTGCTCCCAGGTCCAGGGACAGACCTTCTCTTGGAGAGGCCTGGCTTGTAGCATGAGAATTAGACCACAGCCATCCAGACAGAGCCATCCTCTGAGGGAGCTGGGGCTCCAGGGACTGGCGGGCGGCATGGGGCCTGCTCACACCTACCAGCTCTCCCCTGACCTCCACCAGACTGGGCTGCTGCCTTCCCTGGCCAGGGCCCTGCCTTCCTGTCTTGAAACTCGTGGTGTCCATGAGCATGCTGTACCTTGGAGCGAAGGTGAGGGTGGCAGCTGCCCGCTGCGCTCCTGCTGCTGGCTCAGGGCAAGGCCCAGCTCCTGGCACAGAGCCCGGGAGCACTGCCACCAGCCACCTGGCACGGTTTCTGTTTGAGGTCCTCTTCAGCTTACCCTGCAGAGGGGGGAGGCTCAGATGCAGGGGCTGCCTGGGCTGGGACAATCACCTTCCCTCCTCCTCCTAACCCCAAAACAGAAGAGTGTGGCCAGAGGCCTGGCCTTGTCCTGCTCCAGCCCACACAGTTCCACTGCTTTTCTCTGCTCGTCCCCAAAAGGCAGGAGTGCTCACTGCCGAGTCCTGGGTGCTACAGATCTTGGCAGGTTGGAGGGGATGGAGGGGCACGTGTGTGCCTGGGCTCAGGCAGGGGTGGCCACTATAAAGGACAAGCCCCCGTCCCCAGTCCCCAGTTGAAGCTCCAGGGACAAGGCAGAGCTGCCCCCTCCCAGAGGACTCTAGTCATTGAAACAATTCTGGGCCTCAGGTCTGTTCTCATTGGCTCCCTTCTCAAAGGTGGGGATCCCCCACGCCCAGTCCCTATCTCCCACCCCCCTGGGAGAGGCCTACTTTAGGGTGTGAGGGGAGGGGGTGACAGAATAGCAAAGGAAAGTGTGGCAGGAAACAGCCCAGAAAAGGGTTTCTCCCTGGTCCCAACCCCGTGGTCAAAGGAGGGGGGCTGGCTAGGGTATCGTGGGAAAGGCAGGTACTCCCTGTGGAGGGGCTTCCCCCTGCTTTCCCCATCTGCCCAGATGCCTTTCATCTTTAAGTAATGACCCAACACTCACGCTAGAGGGCAGGAGGGGCAGCCTGAACCCCTGGGTCCTGGTGGGCACGCCCATATGGGTGCCCTTGCCTCTGCAAGCAGAAGGCAGCCAGGACCAGCCGCTCCTCTGCTCCTGCTCGGGCTCCTGTTTCTCTCACCCTCCCTGAGAAATGTCAGGTCCCTGGCCTAGAATCCAAACTCACCAGCTTGGCAGGGAGAGGCAGTGGTAGGGACAGGCCAGCTCTCTGCACCCAGGCCTCCCTCTCACAGGACAAGGAGCGACACTCCCCAAGCAGCCCAGGACAACCAACCCTGCACCTGGGCCATCCACTGGCCCTCACCAGGCTGTGCCCACCGTGGGGGCGAACCCAGCCCAAGTCCCAGCACGACCACCCACAGGCCCAGGGGCTGTCCCTGCCAGCCTGGGAAAGCACAGGTGGGCAGCGTCAGGGGTGAGGGTGGGAGGAGCCTCAGGGGTTTCCTATCAGGAAACAAAACTGAAAGGACAAACCCAGCTTCAAAGGACAGGATCCCGTGCAGGGGGTTGGGGGCAGCTGTGCCATCCTACCTTCCCGCAGGGGCAGCCCCACAGCAGGCTTGAGAAGAGAGGCCCTGGAGCAGGTGGCCTGACTCACTAGGCAGGGCCCTTCTCAAGTGTCACTTCACTTTGGGCCTAAACCTTCAGACCTCCCAGTCCCACTGTGGGGCCGGGGCTCATGGAAGAGCCCTAACCCTGGGCCAGACCCAGGCACCAGGGAGCAGACTCCTCTTTAGCCACCTGGCCCAGTCGCACTGGAGAAGCTGAACAAGGACCCCCGCAGGGCCAGGGGGTGCCTCCTGCCTGGCTCTGATGCCTGGAGGTCTCTTAGAAGCCCACACCATCTGGGCTCCCTGACAGCCTTTGTTGACTTTTGGGTCTGGTCACACAACATGCACACGAGCCAGGCTACCCCAGAGGAAGGAGGCCAAGGGCAGGAACAGCAGAGCCGAGAAGGGCCCAGTAGGAAGAGGCCTGGGACTGCCATTAGGCCAGCAGGTGGAAAGAGCAGCCAGGCCCAGCCCACACTGTGGGTGAAGGTGGCGGCCGCAGGACTGAGCCTGCCTGTGATGGGCAACCAAGGCAGGTCAAGAAGGAGAGAGGGTCACAGTAACCAAGGTGGGACCTGTCCCTCCCTCCCCACTCAACTGGACCAACCTGTCCACCAAGCCCTGGTCTGGCCATCCAGACCTTGTCAGAACAGAGCAGCTGCATGGCCGGGGCGCGGGTCCCTGTCCTCACCCCCAGCCATTTGCCCCTCCCCCCAAGGAGGGACCTTCCCTACCGAGGCAAATAAAGGCACAGCAAACCAGGGAAGTTAGAAAAGTCTCTTTTTTAAGTTTTTAAATTAAAATTTCACCCTGGTGAAATGATTGATTTGGAAACTAAATCCAAAGGCAAGCTCTCTACTCTGGCATCTGCTCGGCCAGAGCATAGCAGGAAGCAAGCCCCAAGTGAGGCAGAGCCTGGGCCTCTGCCCCTTGCTGGCTTTCTAGTCCTAGCCACCAACTTGGGGTGACGATGTCTCATGATGGCAAAGAGGCCCCACACACTGGCCACCAGGCACCTCGGAGCCCCTTCTGCAGCCATAAGTAGGAGTGGCGGTGGCCTTCCTCCCCATTCCAGAAGCACAGCCTTTGAAAGGAGGCAGCAGAACTGTGTGCCTGCAATGTCACACCACCTGCCATGCAACACCTGCCCTGGACTGGGCGGAGGAAGGGGTGCTGCCCCTTCCCTCTGACCCCATACCCCAGGCCAGCCAGCCCCATTCACATACATTAGTTATATTTATATATTTATATATTATAGTTATATATTAAAAACAGAAAAAACTTGCCTGCAGAGAAACTCCTGAAGGACCCAAGTGGCTCAGGAAGTTTACTATCCCCCCCACCCCCCAAAATTCCTTTA